TGTGTGTGTGTGTGTGTGTGTACATATGTGTGTACATATGTGTGTACATATGTGTGTGAAGCAGACATGCCGTTGGCCCTGACAGCCCAAATGGTTAACTCGTTTAGGAAGCGGCAGTGAGCCCCCCACCACCCCTTTTTAAGTGAACAAGAACTCCTTTGATTAAAGTGCATGTATGCGCACATGATTGGGGGGAGGGTAGACCCTTTCATAAAGGCAGCTACAGGGACGGGGAGGGTATTTTGTAAGGGAGTGGGGGGTCACCAGGCTCTAATGGATTTAGCATTGACTATCAACCCCTTACGTAGCGTATTCAGCTGCCCCCTCATCCCCCCACACCCCATCTTTCTCTCCATATTAGAGCTTAACTTCATTTGGAGCCACTCGTTCTCTTTTCTTTCTCTCTTCTCATCACTCTTTTTTCTGCCCCTCTCATCTCTTTTTCTCTGCTCCGTCATTAGATTAGACGTCGGAGGCTCCTGCTTACTACTAGTCACTTACTCCATATTCTTCACCTTTTGCCTTCTGACCACTTCTGTCCCCCCGCGACCCCTTTTTAATGCAACACAAAATTCATTACTGATCACATTACATTAAAATCTACCCACAGCGCACACGCCCACACACATACAAACCTTAAGCTACGAAGACATCATCTTCAGGAAATGTGATGGACATGTGGGGTCCTCTATCCGTTCCGACACAAACAGAGGCTTCAGTCTTTATAGAATAATCTAATAGTGCCGCACTTCTGCCCTGGACTCTAAAGGAAATGTTCCTGTTTCTGATGGAAGCAGTGCAAAGTCCTGCCTTCATTCAAACTGACAGCTTCTGTTATTTATATCCATCCTGATTATGGTGTGATGGATGAATTGACTTTGTGAGCTTCTTCGATATTCTGATAATTAAAGTAGTTTGCTTGATCTGTATGATCATGGATAGCTTTTGATTGGTGCAGCCTGATGTTCTCCTCCTCGTTCTSTGACTAGTGAAAAACATCTATACTTCACATTTTAAAGACTTTTTATTCAACAAGTGGATTTTGATAAGTTGTGGTGAGAGAAAATAAAACATGTAGCACATTAAATGTGATTAGCAAGTGTTATTTTTATATCCATTTCAGACAAAAAGATAAAGAAAAAAAACTCAAAAGTGGATAAATCAATGCTAAAAGAACAAAACATTTAAATAAGTATAAATATATTTTATAAAATACATTAGCTGCAAATTTTACACCTGAACCTTCAGTTTTTTCCTGCCTGAATTAATTCACCAACTGTCGTGATGCCACAGCTACAAAAATATATCCAGAGTTGTAATGTAACTAAGTACAAATACTTTGTTACTGTACTTAAGTAGAAAGTTTGGTTATCTGTACTTTACTTGAGTAATTATTTTCAGCGTACTTTTAACTTTTATTCATTACATTTTTACACAATTATCTGTACTTTCTACTTATTACATTTTTTAAAAAAGTAAAAAGTAGAAAGTCGTGGATATAATACTAAATAAGTTGTAAATAAAATACTCCTATTTTATTCTGAGTTATTATTACTTAAAGGAGACCAATTATGGGTCCTAGAAATGTTTATGGTATGTCTGTGGGCTATCCAGACCATGTTC